ACTATATTAGGCATTTGACGCATATTCATCATACATGACTTCCCAATGAAATGGTTGTGAACTGATTCTAGATGTAGAAGACTTGGACACAAGAGCGCTATGTCTTGCAATGCATTGTCTGTCAGTTGATGTCTATGTCTTACATTGACTATCAATTGAGTCAAGTGTTTGCATCCGTTGAATATAGTGTGCAATGACTTGTCGGTCAACTTTCCCACATGTCTTAGAATAAGAATTTCTAAGTTTACAAGTTTAGCGATTTCACTGAAACCAGATTCAGATAATAGTCGTCGTCCGCACTCAAAATAATAGGCCATACATTCAAAGCTTATATTCAAATGTCTTATATTCGCGCAATTGGTGCAAATTTCTGCCATACATTCATCATTGATGCCACTGTTCACTATTAATTCAGACAATGTCTCTAATCTCAAGCGAGTCATTGCAATCATTTCTGACGACTCTATACCCCAACACTCTCTGAAGTCCAACCTCTCGATCGAGTGACTCATGTAAACCAAACACCGACCGGTTATCTGACAATTGCCGCTAATATTCAATGATTTGAGATTTTGACAATTTTTAAGAATCACTTCTAAACTATTCTCATAAATGTCACATCGGCTCAGATTTAATTCATGTAAACCAAACACCGACCGGTTATCTGACAATTGCCGCTAATATTCAATGATTTGAGATTTTGACAATTTTTAAGAATCACTTCTAAACTATTCTCATAAATGTCACATCGGCTCAGATTTAAATGCTTTAGACTCACGAGTTTTGTGAGCAAATGACACGAATTGTAATGAATGCCAATAGAGTTCTCGAAATTAATAACTTCTAGATTTGGACAGTTGTTGACCAGAAATTGAATGCACTCTTTGTTTAGTATAAAGAAGTGGAAATTGATTTGATTTAAATGATTGAATCTGGAGATTACTTTTGTCATGAGCTCCATTGGATTGCAGGCATGTATTCGCAAATAGAAAGTATTGCTTTGGATTTGGTTTGCAAACCATTTCAGATAATCGGGTTCATTGTAGAAATGTGGCGGCGATTCTGGTATTACATTGTATGGGTAATGGTATCGGAATTCATACGACGGAACATACAATGGCTTTGCATTGAAACTGTCGATAAACAACACTGAATACGTGTCTTGGGATCTGTTGATGTCGTTCATGACAACCTCCCAATCCTTCTTAGAGACATGTCTGCAGTCTTTTATTTGATTCAAATTCTTAGGAATTGTGTTCATTTGTATTGTATTTTATGTCTGAATAATAATATACTGATACTTCTTTTGTTCAGTTACTGAACATCAGTTATAACTTATATCTAATATCATTGTTAAGACGAGAATTAAATCTACATTTTGTAATAAAACGACAATTTTTTACATTTTCAGAATATGTATATTTTGTAATAACAATTTTCTTATGCAAACAAATAATAGCACTTAATATAATGAGTAGTAAAGTAAAAAATACAGAATATTCCATATATTCCTTAAGATTGCTATTGTTGATATTAATAGAGATATAATACTTTTGACAGCAATATTATAAATTAGTTATAACTTTAAATGATTTAGACTAAGGTCTGATATGATTGAATTAAATATATAATTTAGTGTATTTACCATGCTACAAGTAACTTAAGTATTACATATCTTAAGTTTATCAGTTTTTAAAAGTTGTCTATCTAAGATAACTAGAACCAATTTATCATAGTCTGTGTGTGTTTCATAGTCTTGTATTACTCAATATATCTGAGTGTTATAAATATAATGTTAATTTCCATTTAAAAAAGTATTTAAAAATAAAACTAAAGTAAAGGTTAAGAGAGATAATGAAAGACAAGAGCGAAGTCTTATGAGAGGTTTGACTCAAACTCTGTATAGAGAAGTGAAGTGAAGGCGAGAGTGTGTTTGATAACTGATGGCACCGTATGTTGTGATTAGTGTTGCGTTCAATGCATTCAATGTTTACATGAATTTGTTGTGAAAACACATTCACTGTGTTTGTTGTGAAGACACGCTTTCAGTGAATGACAACTCAATCAAGACTTCAATTGAATTCAATTATCACTTAATCGGTTCCCAAATGTCTGGCAAATCATATAACCGTCCGCTGGAGCACAAAGAGTATCTGAAACTCAAGTATTTGACACCAAATGATGGCAAAGACGATAAGAAAAAGAGGATTAAAATAAAGAAATCGCTTAAACCTAAGAATAAGAAGTGATTTGAATTTGTTTTATGAGATAATCTTCGCTTAAATTAATCACATTTTGTTTGTCCACAGAATCCGCATCTTTGACGACGACATAGACCTCAAGAACATCGACGCCAACGCCAGCGATGAAGACCTGTATTTTGGGACCAACGAAGAGAAACCCATTATAGCAGAAGTGGTCGACGAAAGACCTCTTCATATGAGACGCAAAGACATCGACAGAAACCGATGGAAAGCCATTGATTCCAATGTTGATGAGACGGACAAGAGATCTAATGAGAGATTAAGACACGATTCAGACAGCGATTTGTCACCCATTAGGACAACGAAGAAGACAAGACCTGTTGGTAAAGACTTGTCTCCTAAACGGAGGCGAAGACATGATTCAGACAGTGATTTGTCTCCCGTTCGCACAAAAGACACCAAAAAACGGGACTCAAGTGTAGGCTCAAGACATAGAGATAATAAGAAAGACAAAGATTTATCTCCAAAACGGAGGCGACACGACTCTGACAGTGATTTATCACCCGTTAGATCAGTTGAGACCACAAAACGTAGTATTAGTCATAAGGACAACGATTTATCTCCAAAACGTAGACGTGATTCAGACAGTGATCTCTCGCCACAAAGAGAGACAAATGGGAGACACAAGACATCTGACATAAGACATAAGACATCTTTGGATAATAAGACATCTGAGAGCCGACACAACTCTGACAGTGACTTATCTCCACCGAGAGGTCAAAGCGATGACAAAAAGCCTAAAAAGCGTGAACTGACTCTCGGCGGCAAAAAGGCTGGCCTTTCAGATGGAAAGTTCTTACGCGAAGAACTGATGGCCACTAAACGGAAGGAACAAAAACTATTTGAGTCGATAAGCGATGAAATGTTGGGCAAAAACGCCAAAACCGTTTTCAGAGATTCAAAATCTGGACGAATCCGAGACCTCGAAGAAGAGGCCAAACTTGAGTTCGAGAAGAATTTAATTAAAGATAAAATTGAAGCCCAAAAGAAAGCCAAATACGAGAAGTGGTCTAAAGGTGTGGTTCAGACACAACAGCGACAAGAGAAGAGAGAGTCGGATCGGCACGAGATGTCCAAACCGTTGGCCCGCTATGAGGGGGACGTCGACTTGGATAAGATGTTGCGGGAGAAGGAGCGCGAAGACGACCCGATGGCGGCTATGATCCGCAAGAATAAAGACGAAGAGAAACTGATTGACGGAACCGTTAAAGTGAAGCCCAAATACAAAGGACCGGCGCCTCCACTCAATCGCTTCAATATATACCCCGGCTATCGATGGGATGGCGTCGACCGCTCCAATGGCTTTGAGAAGAAGCATTTCGACCGAATCGCTAACAAGGAGTCCACTCTTGAGGAGGCGTATCGGTGGTCCACTCAAGACATGTGAACCGTTTTGACAGAAACTTATTTTTTTAGCCAAGGAATTGATTTCAATCATTATTTAGCCCACAATTACATATATTTGTTAATTTTATTACATTTACATAAATTCACTATTAAATTAAAACATTTAATTAAATAAATGATAATTTAATGAACTAAAGTCAAAGCAGTTCCAATGGGTGATGGTTATGGTTATGGTGCCAACCTATGGTCACGTTATTATTGAATAACGATATAAACAATAATCATGTGTTCAATGGATACAAAGTTTTGAAAACTTAAATTACAATTAAAAGGCAATCAAATGATCACTTCAAAGCTGTTGACATCAAATCAGTTGATTTTATTTCGACATTTGGTTAACAATGGGTTGAAAGCAAACAAACCCTCATCTCTTCACTCATATTCAGCACTAAATGGCAGTCAAACACACCTTAAGAATAGAGATGTGATTGAAATCCCAAAAAGGATTGAAAGGTTTGATTGGTTGCCATAATTGTGTCATTTGTTCACTCTTTTGATTGCATGTGAATCAGAGGTCCGACCGATATATTGAGGGCTTTGGCGGATGTCACTCAACGGGTTTGTCCACCAATTGCTTGTATTCTATGGTTAACTGTAATGACATGTGATTTGTTGGCAGGACTTCAGTGGACCCGACTATCGCTATATTGACGACCCGTTTCTCACACCACTTAGTAATCACCAAAAGGTATTGCAATCAACTGATCTGATTGTATGACTGGCGGTGTCTTAACGAGTGATGACTACTCTCTTTCCTCAGCGGTTATTCTCATTGTCTCGAGAGTCTGGTCGTCGAGCGGCGAAGTATGTGTTCGAGGAGTTCCCGGAACTCTTCTTTAGAGACGTGTCGGAGCCCAAGATCGAGGCCTTCACTTATAAAGAGGTTTACGACGAGAACACAGAAGTGGATGAAACAGATCTCAAGAAGTGTATCGCACGTAAAGAAGTGAATCATTCAATGGTTTGCTATAAAAACATGACGAGAGATGCAAAGGAAATAAGTGGACAAACGGTACAGAAATTGTTAGAATTGGTCTGTTTTTACAACTGCGAGGAACCGGTGGACATGGAGTTCATTATCGAGAAATCATTCTCCAAAGAATCCGAAAGACTTCTCGTGGTTTGGAAAGACAACGGATTTGCGGAACAATTGTTTGATTCAATTGCGGAGAAAACGAGTGAAACGTATTGCGCTTTAATCCAAGGATTAGCGAAACACTCGCAGTCGCAGAAGGCTTACCAATACTATCGGGAAATGATTGAAAAGGGACTCAAACTAAATACAGAGACCTATAATAGTCTGATAAAAGTGGCGCCGATGTTGAGGGAGTCGAGTGACACGCGTTGGGTATATGTCGAGGAAATCCTGAATTGCATGAAAAGCAATGCAATTAAACCCAATTTGCAGACATTGAACAACATGTTGGAAGTGATCACTCGATTCGGAGCCATGAGGTTCACTCAGAATTTTGCCAAAAAGACTTTGGTTGAGATGACCGTTAACTTAGGGGTTGAGCCATCGTTGGCCACATATTATCATTTGCTGAACATATTCTCCAGAGACAAGAGTCCTACCTCTCACGTGTTGTATGAGATAATGGATAAAATCGATGGCAAAGAATTTGTGATTCGAGATCCAAAAGATGGTACTTTGACTCATTTACCCGTATAAGCAGTTTTATGACAATATTTTCATTTGCAGTTAATTTCTTTTTGACGGCAATGAGTGTGTGTCAGAGATTGGGTGACATATCACTCGCTTATAGACTCCACGAATTGGTCTCAAAGGGAAATAATTCAAGATTATTGGGAAATATATTGAATGAATCGACGTATTAGTGAGTCATTGAATTCAGCAGTGAATCAATCAATGGTGAAAATGTGACTAAACTTTTAATTTGAATTATTTAGTCAAAAGTTTTTCCGACTGCTCACCACATCAGAAGACATAAAAGTTTTTATGGAGTTCTATGAGAAATATGTGCCACACGTCTACATCCCGGAACCGGTGGTCTTATCAGACATCTGGAGAATGATTCAACTCTACGATGGATACCATTATTTGCCCAGAATTTGGGAGGACTTCAAAAACTTTGAATATATGTCTCAGATTAATCTTATGGAAGAGTTTTTGGGCTTAATCTCAATTGCAAAAGTAAATGAAGATTTGCAAAAACAATTCACTGCAATCGGTTTGTTTGTTTGCACATTCATTAATCATATGATCCGTTATTAACTATCGTTTTCTATATATTCAGTGAATGAGAGCTTGAAATTCATTGATTCACGACTTGACCATCAATTACAAGAAGGACACGTTGTTGTTCATCAGTCAGTTGTCATTCATTTGCTTTAATTCTTATGAATAATTGTTTTACAATTTGATGGTTAGATTCACTGGTGTTTTGCTCGGATACGCGATTGACATCTATTTGAACGCCAATGACATGGAGAGCGCCCAATCGGTTCTCAACAAATTGACTCAAACGAAAAAAGTGACCGGAAATCCAAGGTTTCACTCATTGAAACAGTTTTATAAATAGCGATTCAAAGGCTTATATTTTGTCTTTTTTAGTGACCAAACATTGGGCCGATTTTGTATTAAAGCAATCGATGCCAAGAAGTATGCATTTGCTAAACAGTGTATTGAGTTTGGCTTAGAGTTAGGTATGACTGAAATGGTCGCTCATGTCAAACAACACATCACAGAATCACCGGATATGGACCCAAATATTAAGTGAGCATTCGTTTGGACACATGTTATCTGATCTAATCATTTGAAACATATATTTCAGAGCCTTATTAGTGGAGACGTGCGGTAAAGGGGAAGTGGTGTCAGAAGAAGAAACCCGAGAGTCACCCATCGATGATAATCCCATAGACAACAAGAGTTCATTTTAGATGCATTTTATATAACATTAGATTTAATTTAGTTTGTCTTTTGTAACAAATATTGAAAAGTCAAAAATAAAAAGTTAGAAAACTTTTGGTTGCATTGTATTTATTCATCAATGCTTTGATTACTTCATCAATGATAGGATCTCTTGTTTACAAACATATCTTTTGACGCAATTTATGGGTGTTTTTGATGAGACACTGACTTATCGTTTCGTTAGTCATTGGACTCACAATTGAATTGATTTTGAAATTCACATCAAATCCAAACAAATCAATGGTTTTGTGTTTGTTTTAACACTTATTTTCTACTCATTTGTCGCGCTTTCAGTGATTTTGTAATCAAAACTAATTATCGGAAGGAAATGGAGGTAAGGATTGATTGGATAATAGGTTTGATTTGATTATTTGATAACATTTTGGCATTTGTTTGTCAATTGTGTTCAAGTCGGCCACCAATCGCTTCTCAGAGCCCGAAGACCAGCCCATCGATGGCACAGATGTGACACAACTGATGGCCAACTGCGAGAAGTGGTCGCTTAAGAATGATTTAGAGGTATAGACCCATACAGTGACTGTCACTTGAATTGGTTTATTAATTGAAGACTGGATTCATTGACAGCTTTTATCTCATTTGAAACGATTGAGTCATACAATGATCACCAAAACCGAAGCCACCAATCAGTCAATTAGTTCTCTAGTCTTTGAGGCAAAGGTTTGTGTGTTTGTGTGAATGAGTGACCAATTCGTGGCTTAATGTCTTGTGTTGACCATCAGATGAATTGCGTGAAAGTGGATAATGTGATCAATGAGTTGCAAATGTTAGCCAACTCTCAGTTCGTGGAGAACAGGGTTTACGACGAAGAGATGGATGATATCATCGCTAATGACGCGAATGGCGTCCAAAGTGTCGAAATGGTTAGCCCTAAGAGTAAAGAAGAGGATATTTTACCGAAAATCAAAAGTGCATTAAATATCGGAATGGATTTCTTGAGCCAACGGTTTGATTGTGACTCAAAACAAGTGCCACAAAACGATTCGGACGATGAAAACGACCAAATAGTCGGAGGACTCCTCTCACACGCGTCCAGAGATGAATACTCGCAAAGACTTCTGCCGTATATCATCGGAAGCGAAGACTTCATTAGTGATAACTGTGTCGGACTGAGTCGTGTGGACGACACCCCAGCTATTGATCTTCAGACTAATGAAAACGACAGCTTAAGTGTTGCCTCAGATTTGGACACTTTTGAGGTCCAGAAAACTATTCCACAGAAAAATATTTTTGACGACAATTTGAGTGATAGTGACGACGACTCGAAAGATATTTTCGGATCTATTCCTCCTATTCCTCAAAGTGTGGTAAATAATGAGAGATTAATATCTAGTGATGAAAGCGATGCCGAGACGTTTGCCGCTCAAGAGGCCAATGAAGATCTGATTATATCTAAAGATAATGTGATTGAACCCAAAAGAGCCATCACTTCATTTCAAGACGAGTTGTCGGCCGTCATCTCAGCCAAGAATCCATACAAACAGACGGTGCGAACAAATGAGGAACAGTCCATCACTTCTGAAGAGAAAACAACGGCCGATGTGTTTGTGAATCAAAAGCAAATTCATTCACCGATTCCTATGGATTCGGAGAGTAGTGACGAAAGCGACTCAATCTTCAAAGTCAACAAAAGTAAACCCAAAATTCAAAGCAAACAAAAGTCCAGTTTTGATGATCTGTTTGGCGAACAAACGAATGACAGCTCACTGTTTGGCCGAAAGCCAGACAAACCGAAAATTAGTGATAAATTAAATAAAGTTTTATCAAACGCTTCGTTGGAAAGAGTGGACACAAATAATTCCAGTCTTTTTGCTGATGAAGACGACGACTTATTCAGTGATACCAACCGTAAGAATGCAAAGATTGAGTCCATAGTCAGTAAAGCGAAGAATTCTGACATTTTTGATAAGAAGAAAGTCATTAATAATAAGAAACCTGTCGTTGAGAAGAGATCTCTATTTTCTGATGATAGCGACGACGAAGATATGGACGACCTATTCATTGGTGCCATTGATAGGACAGTCGTTGAAACCGTCAATGAAGAGAACGACAATTCAGACATTTTTGGCAAAAGTAGTTCAAAAAGGGTTGAAAAATCTATTGAAAAATCGCTTTTCTCTGACGATGACAATGAAGACGAAGACGCGGACGATCTCTTCATCGGAGCCATTAGTAAGAAGACATCCATTGCGTCATCAATATCCTCGTCGTTAGTCATCGAAAACAAAGAAAGCAAACTCTCAGATATTTTTAATGAAAACAGTGACAAATCAAGTGAGAGACCAACTGATGAGAGAAAACCTCTTTTCGATGACGAAGACATCGACGATCTCTTCATTGGTGCCAACAATAAGAAGACAACTATTGAGTCGATAGTTACTAAAGAAAAAGAAAAACCGATTGTTTTCTCGGAAAAGAATGATTCGCCAAAAGAGAGACCAGTTATTGAAAAGAAGTCTCTATTTAGTGACGACGACAGCGAGGAAGACGTGGACGACCTCTTTAGTGCCATTTCTAAGAAGACAACCATTGAATCCATAGTCAATAATGAAGAAAATGCCGAAAATTTTGGTGATAACAGTCCTATAAAAACGGAAAAACCAGTTATTAAAAAGAGAACTCAAATATCCCTTTTCGGTGATCACAACCAAAACAATGACACCGACGAAGACAATGGTGAAGAAGACGTGGACGACCTCTTCAAGAGTGCCATCAATAAGAAAAGCACTGAATTTATGGATAAAGAAAGTGAAAATTCAAATATATTTGAAGACATTAGTGTTAAAAGAACTGAAAATCCAATTGTCGACAAAAAATCTCTTTTTTCTGACGATGACAACGACGATGAAGATGTTGACGACCTCTTTGTCAATGTCATTGATCCTAAGAAAACTATAGATCCTATAGTTCCTGAGGGCAAACCTACAAATATTGTTAAAAATAGTGTCACAAAAACTGAAAAACCAATCGTTGAGAACAAACCGCTCTTCAGTGATGAAGATAATGACGATCTCTTCTTTGGTGCCGTCACGAGAGCGCCAACTATTAAACCGAGTGTTAGGACACAGAATTCAAATATTCCCCAACAAACTAGTGCTAAACAAAATGATGTTAAAGTGAAGCCTTCTGTGAAACCATCTATTTTTGATGACGAGGACGACGACGACCTCTTCAGTGCTGCTATTAATAAGAATAGTAAGAAGACATCAATTGATTCCACTATTAAAAAGGAAAAGAGTCCTAACGTTTCAAATAAGAGTGTAAGTGATGTCAAAAAGACTGTAAAATCACTTTTCGATGACGAGGACAACGATGATGAAGATGTGGATGACCTGTTCAGGGGTGCCGTCAGTAAGAAGAAGACAGTCACTGAATCGGTCGCTAATAAACAGAATAAAAGTTTCATTGAATCGCTTAACAAAGTAGTGGAGAATAATTCAAACGTTTTGGAGAAAAATAATGTCACAAAGAAAGAGAAACCAGTCGTTGAGTCTTCGTCTGTGTTCGATGACGAAGAGGACAACGACCTCTTCACGGCTGTCGTCATTAAGAAGACAACAGTCGAACCAATTGTTAACAAAGCAGAAGATGAAGACGAAGACAAGTCACCGCCTATTCTGGTCAACGACGGCCTCAAACAGAGAGCAATACTCGGCTCTAAACGGAACCGAAGGCCGCCATCGAAGAGACTTTTGAAACCAAACGATTAATGAATGTTATATTCAGTATTAATTTAGAGATTATTTTCAAGAGTTTTTAATTTCGGTTTTTAGCGATAATAAGATCAGTTAAATATAAAAGTAATAATTTATGAGACATTTTGTTTATTTTGATTATTGTTGCAAATTTTATAAATTATTTAACAAATAATAACATTTATTTTTATAAATATTTACAAACATAGACTCAAATCAACATAATTTTGAATACAATATAAATCAACGCTTTTTGACTTTAGATTTAGGCCGCGAAGAAGTGCCGGCGCTCTCGTTTTGCTGCACAACGATATGTCCGCTCGCGATCTCATCCCTGGCCTCATCTGACACTGACTTCAACTTCTCCTGAGTCTCCAAAAAGAACATCAAATCGCGGACCTGTTCTTGTAATTCAGTCACTTCTTTGTCTTTAACTGTTTTCAGTTCTTTGAGTTGAACTTCAGTTTCAGTGATCTTTGACTGCCATCCCATTTGGTTCTCTCGCAGACATGCATTCAATTCTCTCTCCTCTTTGAGTTCGCTCTGAATTTTATTCAATTTTGTGGACAAAGTATTCACTTTTCTGTCCAAACTTTGCTTCTCTTTCGTAATGACCGCTAAATTGGTCTTCAATTCGTCGCGTTCTTCGACTATAATCTTGTTTTTGTCGATCACTTCATCGATCTGGTGGTGAGCGTCAGACTCGATGCGAGCCAACGCCTCCTCGAAGTAATGTCTTTGCGCTTCCAATTGATTGGTTAAGAGGTAAGTGTACTCGAGTTGCACGGAATCGATCTTCTCGTCACTGTTGGCCTGATTGCACTCCACTTCCACGGGTTTTCCGTCTTTATTTTGGAGCAAACGGTGCACATAGTTGTCGCCCGCATAGTCCCAAACCCTGTTATTAGAGCCCAATTGCATGGCATACGTGTGCTGTGTCTCCGAGTAGTGTTTGTATGCGTGGCCCTCATTATAACGCCCGCACCCGATGTGACCACAAATCAAACAAATCCAAAGCGTGTCCTGTTGTGAGGCCTGTGACCCGCACTCAAAGCACCGGTTGTCGGGAATCAGTTCAGGCGTCTGACAGTAGCGACAAACGGGACAACTGCTGTCTCCCCACTTGTCTAGACATCCGCCGTGAAAGGAATGGTTGCATAAAATGGTGAGAATCCCCTCAACCGACTCATCCATCCGTTCGAGACATACGGGACAAGTGGGCAGTTCTGTGAACCCACTCAACGGCAATGAAGATTCTTCAGACTCTTTGATGGTCTCGATGTTGGCCACAAACACCAGATGACAGACATCGGGTTCAATGGAGTTGAATGGGATTCCGTTGAAGGCTTTGTAGAACTCGTCGGCACTTCTTTGGTTCGAGAATTTGATTAAAACCATGTATTGATTCGGTTTATTGTCGCGGATTATACGGATGTGTTTGATGTCCTGATTGACGGCTGCCGTGAACTGCAAGACGTCGTGTATAGTCATCGCCGCGGGAACCGACAGAATGCACACCATTTCACTCCTTTCGGACTCTTCGCCAAAAGGCGTCAATTTGTTCTCTTTATACAAATGGAGGACACCTTTCGTCACTTCCACCAAATGGTTGCCGCTATAGAACTGGATCTGATTCAGTGATGCCATCGATCCGATAGCCTTGCGGTCGGCGATTGCGGTGGCCGTCGACCCGATGGCGCCCACACTCTGGCCATCGGTCGACAGCTCTGGTGTCGACTCTTTACTTGAGGTCGACTTTACGGACGTCTGTCTGGACATCATTTTCGACTCATTTGTCGTATTCATGTAGGACTCGATTGTGATGTCATGTAATTCACGACATCCGCGGTGTTTAGGCTTTTGGCTCTGAGTTTGCGTTTGGGTTACCGATGACTGCTCTTCAGTCGACTCATGAGTGGCTTCTTCCACAGCGTTCACCACTTTTGCCGAAGAACTCACATTCGTTTCAGTCATCGACTTATTCGTGAATTTCGAGGCTTTTGTTGAATCAAAAGATGTGTTAATTGTTTGAATGAATGCATTGAATGATACCTTTGAATGTGATGTCAGTACTGATGCCGTAATCGGAGTGTAATTCAAGTCTTAATGCAATCAAAGAGACAGACATTACATGAGTTGTGCATCGATTGAGTCCAACTCAACGCGAATCCAATCATTGAGTCATTGATTGCATTGAATCGCACGAAACCAGTCGACAGACAGACCACTCGTTCACACAAACAAACAATAACTCAATGTTTGTCTCCATTCACACACAGAGGGCACGACTCACTCCATAAGTGCTTACATTCTGTCGATTCCTTTACTTTTTCAGAATATTCTTTGTTTTGAAGTTTTGGTTCATATGTTTGGCATTCAATGAAAATTTATGTTAAATTTGAAATTAAAATCATCTTATATTTATTATTAATGAATACAATACTGAATTACTATAAAATTTTATAAATCATGTTTTTGTATTTATTAAATGTAGAATGGTAACTTAAAAACTTTTTTCTAAAACAATTAAATATTTAATTAACAAAAAGATAAACTTATTATAATTATATAAAATGTTAAACTAAATAATAAAGACTTTGAAACTATGTAAATTTTTTTGTAAAACTTTTACAAACTTTTTAAGTGCATTAAAACATTTGTAAAAGTTTATTAATACCGGTTTTGTTTTGAATATTTTGTTGAGATCTCCATAGAGATGACAGAATCGATCGTTTTGTCTACTATTATATTAGACTTATAATAAAATATAGTTTCTATAGATTTAGAATATCTAAAAATTAGTTGAATTTTTTAATTTCAAAAACGAAACGTCAAATGAAACGAATGGATAAAGAAATCGAGAAAATTGTGACAAAAGAAAAGGTTAACACTTCTGAAGACGGAGAAGAAGATTAATATCTAAAAATTAGTTGAATTTTTTAATTTCAAAAACGAAACGTCAAATGAAACGAATGGATAAAGAAATCGAGAAAATTGTGACAAAAGAAAAGGTTAACACTTCTGAAGACGGAGAAGAAGATGAGGAGGAAGAAGAGGAAAGGGTTGCGTTCGAGGGGTAAGTGTTTTGTTGTTTAATTAAAACGTTAGAAAAACCTTATATTGATTTTTCTATATCAAGATACTCTCATATATTGATTAAACAGAGCATACGATCCATCGGAATATGAATCCCTTCAGGTGTCGAGTGAAATGAAGAATCTCTTCAGTTATATAACCTGTTATTCGCCACAAATGATTGAATTGGAGACTAAACTCATTCCCTTTATCCCTGACTTTATTCCTGCCGTCGGAGACATCGATGCCTTCATTAAAGTCTGTTTCAAATGACAGAATATTTTAAGCTCTGAAACAATTGTTATTTAAAAACAGGTTAAGAGACCCGATAATAAAGAAGACACATTGGGTTTGACTGTTTTGGACGAACCGAATGCCAAATTACAATCGGATCCAACACTTCTTAGTCTTAAACTAAAGGCAATTTCAAAGGACATTAAAATCATAGAGGAGTCGGAAACTGCTGTCAAGACTGCGAACTCTAATCGAGACATAGACTCATGGATTGATAATATAAGACATTTGCACGAAACGACTGCAAGTTCTTCGACATCTGTGACTCTACTCCATAGCCATAGACTTCCAGATGTCGAGCATCTGATGCAAGAGTGGAGTGAAGAGTTTGAAAGTGCTCTCAATGTTCACTCATTACCAACACCTGACCTCGACTGTAGTCTCGAAGAATACATTACTATTATTTGTGGTGAGAATAATTGAAATATAAATTTCTTTAAAATTAATATCCGAACCCCTGTAGCTTTATTGGACATACCGGTGCACTCATCTAAGATTGCTTCATTACATTTGTTATTCAATTTATACAATGAATTCAGAAATTCTCAGGTAATTCGTAGAAATTAGAAAATATTTGGCGTTTTTATTAAAATTCATGTCATTTTGTACAGCATTTTAAACGTTTTGTTGAATGAATTCATCGCAAGAATGGATCACTTTTTCGATTTTATCCTTATTTTTGGCCAATTTTTCTGATCGTTTTGTTTGATATGTTTTAATCAAATTCTGGACTGAAATCAATTTGGCAGCGATTGCCGCGTTTTTCGCCTCCTTTTCCTGATTTATAAAACAAATACATAAATATTAATCTGAAACTAAAATTACAAAAAATAAATACAAATTTCTTTTGTGACATATCCTCGATGTTTGGCACCGATTGTGTCAACGATTTGGACAGGAGTTCCAAATCATAGCTAATACTAATTGGTTTCGTGGCCTTCATGTCATTCAATTCATAGGCCATGTATTCAATGCTTTCTTTGGATTGGATCTGAAAATCAAACAAAACCATTAAAACCGAGAAGTGATTGCATATCAAAGAACTCACGATTTGGTCCAAAATATTGTCACTATTTTTACTATAGTTTTCTGTTTCATCAGTAAATGGCAAACAGTTCTCTAAATCCAAGACATCCAATGGTGTCATCAGTCTCTCATAGCATCCAATGATATCACTTATTGAGGATAAGTTAGGCTTCAATTGAGTGCAGAGTTTATTCTTCGCCGAAATCACTTCCAAGACATCCAAAAGAAGTGTTGAAACAAACACTTTGTTTTCATTGAAATCATCTTTGATTTGACGGCTCTTTCGTCGGAACTCTTCGACAATCAATTGGTTGCGAATCCGACTCGTGTTGGACTCAATGTCTTTGATCTCTTCTTCGATGGCTTTGATATTATCCTTAGATTTAATTGAATCGCAAAACCGTTTCACTGATTCACCATTTCTTGCAATTAAGACACAAATGATTAGTCATTGAAATGCAAACTATGGGTGAAATGCAATACTCTTTGGATTTAACTGTTTGTGACATAAAAGACAATAACTTCTTAAGAATCGGTCCATTCTTTGTCCGCAAAACACTTCAATTGACAACAAAACCAATAATTAGTAAACCATTTGTCAAATCAATGCAATTATCTTCAGACATGACTTACTTAAGCGACTCTTTGGAGCAGTTCTTGACATTCAACTCCTGTTCCGACCATTCAATGAGTTTTTCGTCAAATTTATTCATAACTCAAATCTAAATGAATTGCATTTAAATGACAATTAATTGAAATACACTTCAAATCAAATCAACAAATGTTTTGCATTTGTTTTGCGCCAAAAATAATACAAACAAACACTCATTGCGTTCAACAATAATGTCTAATAAATGCCTCAAATTAAGCACTACTTTAGGCCTAAAAGTAAGGCACATATTGTGGACATAATATATGAGCAAAACTGATGCAATGCTTGTAATTACAAACTCACAGAAAATATCAAATTAATTGTAAATAATTGCTGAAAAGTAATTGATTAGTGATTATAATCACTGAAACAGTGCCTTAACTCCAATGAGATGTCTTTGTGTCGCTTAAGACCCACTCGTTTACTGACCAAACATTTGAGACAATGTTTGGCAATGAGTTTACGGCGGGAGTCGAGTGGAGTGCGGGTGCGGTTCGGGCCGTCGCCCACGGGGTTCATCCATTTGGGAGGCCTTCGGACGGCTCTCTATAACTACTTGTATGCCAAACAACACAACGGATCCTTCGTTCTTCGCATTGAGGACACGGATCAAGTAATACAAGCACTCATTGCCAGCGTAACAGTAACTGTCAAATGAATGATTGCTTTTTGATGTGTCAGGAAAGGGTAGTTCCCGGCTCTCAACGAAACCTCGAAGATATGTTGCAGTGGACGGGACTCATACCAGATGAGGGCCCCACCACTGGTGGACAGTATGGCCCGTATGTCCAGGTTTGTGGACATGTAGTCAATGAAGTGTTGATAAGTTTATATAACTTGAAACCTGTGTTCAGTCCCAACGAATAGATCTCTACAGAGAGAAAGTGACTGAACTGTTGTCCACACCAATGGCCTACCGGTGCTTCTGTTCAGACATGCGATTAGATTTGCTGAGGAAAGAGAAGCTGAAGAACCGAGAGATTCCTAAATATGACAATCGGTGCCGACATTTATCTCAACGAGAAATCGACGAAAAGTTGGCGAACGGAGAAAAGTTTGCGATTCGTCTTAAGCTCAAATCGGGTCCAATTGGTTTCGATGACATAGTGTTTGGTCGGCTTTCCTTTGACTTGTCTGCCATAGAGTCAGATCCAGTCATCTTTAAAAGCGATGGCTTTCCGACCTATCATTTTGCGAATGTAGTCGACGACCACTACATGAAAATATCTCATGTCTTAAGGGGCGCCGAATGGCAGGTCTCGACACCGAAGCATATAATGCTTTACGAGGCGTTTGGATGGACTGCCCCTAAGTTCGCTCATTTGCCTCTCATTATGAATACAGACGGCTCTAAACTATCTAAACGTCAAAATGACATCAGAATTGATTACTATAGAGATAACGGGTATTATTCGGAGACTATTATAAACTACTTGACGACAATCGGCTCAGGGTTTCCACATCGACTCGAAGACAGAATCGATGGCCTCCAAGAGTTAACCAAATTATTTGATTTAACAAAAGTGAACACAAGTAATGGCAAAATAGAGACCGACAAACTTCGGCTCTATAATCGCTTCTCTATTTACTGGTATTTTAATAATGGATTTGAAAATAAATTAATTGAAGAATTGAAAACTCTGTTAATAAGTAAATTTGGTTCAACTCGTGAATTAAATTTAGACAATGATTACCTCAAATTTTTAATCACTTGGAGTAAAGTAATAGTCATTATATTTTTAATAATTTTTAATGCAAATTAATAACTATTTTGTGTATTCAAGGAACGAATTTTTACTTTAAAAGAACTTTTGAACGAAGAATTCATATATTTATGGAAAGTTCCTGATTTTAAGTGGAAAGTCAGTGATATTGCAACTCATGAGGAATTTGGTAAGAATCTTATAATGAATTAATGTTTCAACTAATGCTATCTTTTCTATTAGAAAGTGTATTGAATTCAATGATAGATTTATTGGAAAGTCTAGAGGAAAATGAAGTCAATTCCAAAGATATTTATCAAGTCATTAGAAAGCTATACAGTGAAAAGCATTCAAATTTAATTGGATTCAAGAAATTTATGAAGATTTTAAGACTTTGTTTAACAAATCTAGAAGTACTTTAAATACTGGAATAATAATTATTAAATATAAAATTAATTTTTATTTTTAATACATTTATAGAAAGGCTCACCAATTGGCGAGACATTGGAACTGTTGGGACCACAAAGAGCCAAAACATACCTCAAAAGTGCATATAATTATGTGAACAATAATTTACAACAAAAACATTTCAATTAAAAATTATTTAAACAAATTAACCGAAAAACTTGTCATTGGTTTTGCTTCTCTTTGACGATACCACGAGCGATGAGGTCGGGCACCTCGACGGCCAGCCACGGACCCAACTGTCCAACAGATGACACATTAATCGCATGTAAACACAGTGTCAATGGCTTACCCCGAGGGCCATGGCGTGAGAGATCCCGAATTTGGGTACATTTCTGGCCCACAATGGCTTGAAGTGATCGGATGTACAGATCTTCCCTCCCCTATACATCTTCGCGGTCTTGCCGTCCAATTCGGGAATCGCTATCTCAGGCGCTGTCGTCGGATATGTCACCGGAATCTATGCATTCATTTCATACAATTAATTGTCGANGGCTTGAAGTGATCGGATGTACAGATCTTCCCTCCCCTATACATCTTCGCGGTCTTGCCGTCCAATTCGGGAATCGCTATCTCAGGCGCTGTCGTCGGATATGTCACCGGAATCTATGCATTCATTTCATACAATTAATTGTCGATAAAAGTGTTCAACTGATGGTTACATCGAACTCGAGGTCGAACTCATATTTGATGAGCTCATGGATGAACCAACACTTCCCGAACCATTTGGTGCCGTCTTTGTTGGACTCCAGACGGAACCAGTCGTTGTCATTATCCTTGTTTTGCTGGACATACTGTTCGTACAAAATAGATGTAATCCATGAATCACTGGATCAGTCAAATGACTCAGAAGTGTGTCAAACCTGAATCAACGACTGGTATTCCTCTTTGAGTCTTTGTGGCCATAAGTCCTTATCTCGTGGACCGGACTTTGTCTTAAGGAGAGGAATAGAACTCAACGTCTTTTTGGTCTTGTCGTCGGCCATATCTGATGACAACTGATTCAGTACTCAAGTGTCAAAACAAGACAATCACTGTTTGTTGACATCGAGTGCACACGTGTTCACCACTCACTCCACCACTGATTCACTTCATGCAGACATCATTTGTGTTGAAATGTGGGCACAATTTGCATGAATTTATGCGCAAATGCTTTGCAATGCATCTCATAGTGAGGCCTGCTTTGAGTGAATCACTCATCTATTGATCCATTGAGTGATTATCCATAAATCGGTGGCAGATATGGCCGTAACCAACGCATCAACTCTTGTGGACATTCAGAACAACGAGACTTTCATTAAAGAGGACCACAACGAGATGCGGTTTAGGACCAGGGTCAATAAGATCAAGTGAGTGATCAGCCATTCATAGCCATCACAAGCCATACCATTCATAGCCATACCTAATGTGTTGATTGTCTTGTGAAGGGTTGGACGCATAGAGCTAGGAGACGTGACTCCGCATAATATTAAACTTCTTCGGCGTCTAAATCAAGTGATATTTCCCGTCAGTTATAACGACAAGTTTTATAAGGATGTCTTAGAGGCCGGAGAGTTGGCTAAACTCGGTATCTATTCTAATGCTACTCTTGAGTTACCATTGATTGTCTCATCTAATGGTGTCATGTAATCCTTCAAAGCGTATTACAACGACATAGTCGTGGGCGCCGTTTGCTGTCGGATCGACACCTCGGAGAACAGTCGACGCCTTTATATCATGACTTTGGGCTGTTTGGCGCCATACAGACGACTGGGCATCGGGTCTAAGATGGTTGAGCACGTGTTGTCCATTGTCGAGAGGGACGGCTCTCTGGACAGCATCTTCCTGCACGTGCAGGTGAACAATGAGGGCGCCATTGACTTCTACAAGAGGTTCGGCTTCGAGATCGTCGAAACCAAAGAGCATTACTACAAGAGGATAGAGCCGGCCGACGCTCACGTCCTCCAGAAGACTCTCAGACACACCACTCATGCGTTTAAGACGAATGGCGAACAATAATCTCCACGACTCCAGAGTAGTGGTCGACTGAACGGTGGACTCGAAATCTATTTTTAATGTCTTTTTATCTCTTAAACATCGATTGTTTGCCAAAAGTTAGTTCACAAATACAGTACAGTATATTGCATTCAATGAACAAATTGTATGTTTTATAATAAATCCAAGTCATTCACCCATTAATTGGATATTTTATTGCTTTTTATTATTAGTATTAAACTTTTCATACAATTGGATACTGTGTATCGGATTTGCCATTAAATCTAATGTTAATTAGCAGGTAATAATAATATAAAATCTTAAAATGAGTTTAAAAATCACTAAAATTGCATAACAGTGTTTGGGATTATAGCTGTAAATATAACTTATGGTAATATAAAAGTCATTTACTATTCATATAAACTCTAATCGTGTCGATACAGACACTATGAGATGAAACAAATCAACTGATTTGTGACATATGTTTCGTGATTACAATTATTTAGACTTTAAATGACTTTAAAGTGTTGAATGAATGCCAATGAGAGTCACAATAAGCGGTGAATTGAGAGAAATAATTATCACATTTAGTGTACAAATCCATTGAATCAAAGGCCGAGTCGTCGGCTGTACTCGAGGGCCAAGTCGTCGGCAATACGAGCCCTACAGACGGGACATATCATCCGCAGTGACAGCCATTGTTTGATACACTTCTTGTGGAAGAGGTGACCGCAGGGGAGGATCTCTAAGGGCGCGGAGATGTCGTCGCGACATATCGTGCACTCATTGGCCGGTTGTGGCGGTGCTCTCACTTTGGATCCTTCGGGTCGCGCCTCATATGACTGTCTTTGAGCTGATCTCTGATTCCTCTGGTATTCCTGATAGAGAAGAGTGAGCAGAACGACGACCCCTCCTATGATGACACCCCCGCCCGTTATTAAGCCGATGTTCACCATCTTATACGCCAATCGGTCCACAACTGTCTCGCTGTCTGTATATCACTGTCTGTTCACTCAATTCAATGTCAAACCGAAACACAAATCATTTGTTCATTCATTGAGTGAAGTGTTTGTCAAACAGTCGTCAAAACAAACGCAAACCAAACAGACGTCGAGTTCAACACAAATGCATTCATTGAGACGTTATTTACGGCAAACTCTGTGCAAATGAACACATGTTTTGCCATTCATTTGATTTGTAAATTGAATGCAATTTATAAATGAATTGATGAATCAATTGATTTGTCTTTTTATAAACTTTTCACACAATGAGTGACCAGAAGATTGTCGATGGGTTTGTGGTGTTGAACGTGAAGTACTCGAGTGACAGTTCAGTCACAAGACATCTGTTCCTAAAACAGCATAAAGTGAAGCAAACGATGCAAACGAAAGCGTTGGCCAACACTTTGCTTGTCCTCAATGTCCCCCCATTTGTGGATCAGTTGTGTATAAGACATCTGTTCGGCAGTTGTGGTAAAATATCGGACGTATTGTTTAACTCTAAGATAAGTCTCACTAATGTCTATGGAGTGAAGAAAAGCAAACATTTCTCAACCACTGAAGACATGAATGGATATAAAGTTTGTTTCGTTGTCTTCGGCACTCAATCCGCTCTTCAAAAGGCTCTCAAATTGAGTGAATCGTCGGATGTGTTGACTCTTAAACCGGATTCAGACCAACACTTAATTGGTTTGAAAGCAATGAAACAAAAATATAACCAATCGATCGTTGATTCAAATGAATTACACGAAGAGATCAACGATTTTATGACAGAATATGACAAACGAGTGGAAGACGAGAGACTGAAAGCCAAAGAGAGTGAAGGGGTGGCCGACGAAGACGGTTGGGTTCAAGTGAACAGACATTCAAACAAAAGACATTTGCCTAACAATTACGCCAACGACCAGAAGATCATTGAAAAGCAGAACAAACTGCTGAAGAAGTCGTCCAACGATTTGCAAAACTTTTACTCATTTCAACAAAAAGAGAGTAAAATTAATTATTTAATGAATTTAAGGAACCGTTTCGAAGACGACAAGAAGAGAATCGCTTTAATGAAGTCTCAGAGGAAGTTCAGACCATTTTAAGACAAACTATCCATTAGTTTATCGTTTTTTATTTGAATTTATTATTATCTGTTTAAATCACTAAAATTATACAAATTGTATGCTTTAATCGTATGCTTTATTTGTTATAAAATAATTAAAACTCATTTGAAATTTGATAACTTTTTACATGAAGTGATTGGATGTGTTGTACGCATAGGTTATGCGCATAGATCTCAAGATTTTGAAGGTTTTGAAACCAATATTTCTGTGATTCAATGTCTGATGCAATTGTCAATAATTACCACCAAAATGTGTTTAATTAGCATCAGGAACAGTATTATTTAAAGTTATTTTGCTATGAATAATATTATGCGTTTTTTGAAACCAATATTTCTGTGATTCAATGTCTGATGCAATTGTGAATAATTACCACCAAAATGTGTTTAATTAGCATCAGGAACAGTATTATTTAAAGTTATTTTGCTATGAATAATATTATGCGTTTCTATTAGTCATATGATTAGGCTATTTATAAATAGGTTATTTAATTATATTTATTTATATTATTATTATTTATTCCTATTAGAACTGAACACAGTATTTATTAGCAAGCAGCATTTATTTGAATAATAGTTATAACAAAATAATCGGTAAATAATTGTTAAATTAATGGCTTTTTATGGCAGATCTCATGCCTTACGGCCTTTAATAGCAAATCAATTGAAATATAATTTACTCTCAAATGAGAAGAACTTCACTAAAAATGTATTGAAAAGTATTCTTCGAAGGAATTCTTCGAACATAAAGCTATCGGATCTGTCGGACAGATATAAGACTCAGTTTAACGGTATGTCTAAAGAGATTGTTATCAACTGTTGATGAAGTGGTGATGTATGTCCTCCAGTGGTTCATACGGCCAGCTCTGTTGAGCCACACTTTGTCTTCGCCAACAATGAACTCGATTTGTCGGACATCGAGGTCTATGGTTTCGATTACGACTACACTCTCGCTGTCTATAAGGAATCTCTTATGTATTTGATCTATGATTTGGGCCGAAAAGTGTTGATCGATAAGTACAAAGTCAGTCCATACATACTGTCCGTAATGTATTCAATGGTTAACTAACTTCTGTTGAATTGTATGACACTTACTGTAGTATCCGAAAGATATTCTGAAACTCGATTACATCCCAGACTTCGCGATTAGAGGATTGCATTTCGACATCGAGAATGTATGTCTGATCCATGAATTTGATGATTAGTTAAAATAAGTTAATTTGAATGAATGACTGTATGAAATGTAGGGACTATTAATGAAAATAGATTCCTTCCATCAAATCCAATTGGGAAGTGTTTACAGAGGGCTCACACCTATCGATGACAACGAAGTTCTTAATCTATATAATGGTTTGCATTTCTAATGATTGCAATTATAAATACCGTTGTTTATAATAATTTTATTGTATATGATAATTATTATCTCATATGTGTTATAAATAGGCAATTATGTGCCACAAAAGCTAATTAGATCTAAAGCTGGTGGTGAGGTATGTGATGATTACTTGTAAAAGATAAGATTATTAGTAAATTGAATACTTTTTTAATCCAAATAATTAATATGGAAAGCAATTACCAATGAAACAACTGAACGATCTGTTCAGTGTCCCAGAGATCTGTTTGCTGTCCAATGTGACCGAATATTTCATTAAGAATAACATCCCATACCATCCGGAAATACTCTTCAATGACACACAGGTACTGACGGATGATGTGCTCAGACAATGAGTTCATTGAAATTAATTATAATCTTAATGTATGTCCAGAACGCTGTTCAGAGTATTCATCCGTGTAGGGACTATTAATGAAAATAGATTCCTTCCATCAAATCCAATTGGGAAGTGTTTACAGAGGGCTCACACCTATCGATGACAACGAAGTTCTTAATCTATATAATGGTTTGCATTTCTAATGATTGTAATTATAAATACCGTTGTTTAGAATAATTTTATTGTATATGATAATTATGATCTCATATGTGTTATAAATAGGCAATTATGTGCCACAAAAGCTAATCAGATCTAAAGCTGGTGGTGAGGTATGTGATGATTAATTGTAAAAGATAAGATTATTAATAAATTGAATACTTTTTATATTCAACTAATTAATATGGAAAGCAATTACCAATGAAACAACTGAACGATCTGTTCAGTGTCCCAGAGATCTGTTTGCTGTCCAATGTGACCGAATATTTCATTAAGAATAACATCTGTATGGTAGGCCTTTATGAGAAGTTACTGTGTGTCCATGACTGCCTACTACACGAGTCTGTTACTCAAGTAACTTTAATTAATATTAGAATTACATACAGGTCTTGCGACAAGTCTCATAAGTAGGCGTGATGCATAAGATGATTGACGACAATCTTATGCCGAAATATCTCGAGAAAAATAATTCTCTCAATACTTTTCTCAATAGACTTAAGGAAAATAACAAGAAAATGTTCTTGATTACCAACAGTCCCTTCAAATTTGTGTAAATTTATTGCTAATTATTTGATATCAAATTTTATAATTTTCTATAATTCCGGTACTAATAGTGATTGTGGGATGAGATATATGATGGGAAAGGATTGGAACCAATTGTTTGACGTGATTATAGTGAAGGCAGGAAAACCTAAATTCTTTAATTTGAAGCGAAGGTTAGAAAAGAATATTCTGTGGCTTAGAAGTGATAACCATTTGACTGTATTGTTGACCACTTGTCAGACCATTCAGACACTATGACAAAGAGAGTGATAGTCAGAACTGGACCAAAGTGTCGAGTCTGGAGAGGGGCAACATTTATATGGAGGGAACTGTCTATCAGTTGCTTCTCTACTGGCCTACCTTTCCGTTGAGTTAAGAGATGAAACCTCTGGTCTAGATGTCACTAAACCGCCTGTAATGTGACTTGAAGCCAACCTCTTGCCCACGATAATAACACCTTGACCTCCATAACGGTGAGAACTGCCCCCTAATTAAAACTAAATGAGTTATGAATTCTTACTTTAAATATGTTTAGAGAGAAATCGAAACTTTTAATTCGGAAGAGTTTAGAGAAGCTGTCAGTGCTTTACAGGCCTTACAACTACTTATAGACGGATCGCATAAATCTAAAGACAATCATTTATTGGATCAACTCATGGTTCAAAGAGATACTCTTCGGTATTGTCTATAATATATTAATTCTTATGATCACAGAATTGTCTCTAAAAGTGGTGTCTATTGCAGAGCGCGGACTAAAACTGATAAGTTGGGAGTCAAGCCCTCATATAAGGCCTGCGTATTGTTAGGGTGCATAAAGAGCGCGGCAGACAAGGCGATAAGTCTGTAAATATACAGAAAACACTGGTTAAATAGCTTAATAAGAAACTATCACATATTCTGTCCCCGAAGAGGACTACTGCCACACGAGACAAACATCTGTCAGGTCCACATCCAGTCGCACCACCAGTAGATTTTTATATGTCTTTTGTGACCAATTTATCGAATTATTCTTTGAATCACATATTCTGTCCCCGAAGAGGACTACTGCCACACGAGACAAACATCTGTCAGGTCCACATCCAGTCGCACCACCAGTAGATCTGTACTCGCTTTCAGTTAATTGTGATGTCATATTGTATTTGACAATCAATATAGAGATTAAATTAAAGACAAATTTGATGTTTCTATGTATTAATATTCATTTCTATGTTTAATTTCTAAGTGATCCAGGCAACTTTTCATTTTAAATATTCCAATATATGTCACGTTATATACGAGCAGTCAATGACACAAACAAATGGCGCTAAAAATTGTAGCATTTGTTAGATTTGACGCTAATATCAGTTGATTACTAAATCCATTGATATATCTGTGGTTACCATCGGATCAATTGGTGGTCAGTGATGACTGCCGAGAACTATCTCATTCAGTCCCTTATGTGGAGACAATGTCTGACTGAAGACAAATTCAAGCAAATGGTTGGCAAATGTCAAAGAGGTATGAATGTGTCAATTGTGTGACCAATGAATGCATGGATGGTATGATTGGACATCATTTGCAGATCTTCCGGAAGGCTCTGAAGTGAGCGCCGAAATGATGGGCCAAATGGTGGCAAAAGTGAATCGACAGCTCAGACCCTATAATATTGAGATCAGTCGCGGACCCAATGAAAGCGACGGAACCATTCACTACGCGCTCATCAATACCGCAGACAATGATATCACAAGAATGGCTAGTATTTGGACACAAAAGGAGTTGATTTACTACAAGAAAGTGTTGACGGCTATCGTGGAGAGTGACAACACTTCCATAACTTCGACCAAACTGTTGAACATCGGTCGCAACGATGAGATCAAGTTCACAGTGAGTGCCGCAGAGAATCTGATGAACAAATGGATGGATCAGAAATGGTTCGAAGAGCTGTCTGACGGAAACATTGCGATCGGTGTCCGGTCTCTGCTCGAGATGAATGTGTATATTAGGGATCACTTCGATGTGAAGGACTGTCTCCGGTGCAAAATCCTGTGCGTTCGTGGACTCGATTGCATGTCCTGTTCGTCTAAACTTCATTATCACTGCTCGGACTCGCAGTACATTCAGGACAACAAGTGTCCCAATTGTCACAAACAATTCGCGGACACCGAACACATGAATAGCGGTACGACAGCAGACAATAGGGATGAAGACGTGGACAGCGATAGCGATGACACCGTTGTTGAGGATAACCCGAGTGGACAAAGAGGAAGATCCAAGAGATCAAGACTTTCATAGATTTCTAAATAAGCTCTCGTTTTGCAAAAGTATCTCTTTATATCTCATTCAATAGTATTATAATTTATAAAACTTGAAAATTGAAAACAAATTTATAGAAATCAACACAAAATGAATAACATTTATATATTAATTAAACTTATATTAAACTGTATATGAATTAAACTATTTGTTGGTTTGTTCCTTGGCTTTGAGCTTCTCATCGATGAAAGCCTTAATCCGTTGCTTGAGTTCAGTGTCGGGAACGACCAAATCCATGGTCAGCGGCGCCCGAGTGAACGGATCCGTTTGGTCA